AAACCCCCCCCCCCCAGTCGTTTCAATTTAGGGTAACTGTTATTGCACATACTGTAAAACAAAAACCGATTCCTGGGAATAGCGAGAGCCTCTGAGGCTGTCCCAGTGCGCCCAGTTGGAGATGGGGATGCGAGTGGAGCAACTGGGTTGTTAAACTGAGAGGAAGGGATGGAGAGGGCGCGCTGTGCAGATCTGCTGTTCCCGACAGATGGAGGCAGGTTGGCAGGTAGCTGCCCAGGGCTGGCTGGCGGGGGGGATTTGCCATGCCACTTGGCTCCAAGAGCTGCGTGCAGGTGCACGGGGCTGTCGTGATCACAGAGGTGCCTTCGATCCCAGCCCTGGGTCACTGGGAGCTACACAGACCCCCAGGGAGAGAGTCCCCAGTAGATCGAGGGAGGGGAAACAGAGGCCCGGAGAGGGGCCGCACGCTGCACAAGGTCACCCTGGCCGAGTGGGAGCCCAGGTGTCCTGGTCTCAGCATGGCACCGCCAGATACAGTCGCCTGGCAACTGCAAGGCCAGCGTATTTGATCCAACTAAATGGATGACACGAACCAGCCGGATCCCGCTATCGAGCGGCGAAGGGGGTCGGCCACGCCGGCAGGCGCGTTGCAGCTGAGCGTGGCCGGGGGCCAGGAGTTCCCGGCACCTCCTCTGAGCTGGCGGGGAACACGGCACGTGCACGGGCTGTCATGGGCACGACAGGCTTTGCCAGGAGGCAGTTGCCAGGGGCAGGACCTGTGTCACGGCCACAGCCAAGTCCCTTGTGCAGACGGACCAAGCCCCGCTTTGCCCTGGTGCACGCACGGAGGGAATAAGGGCCACGTCCGCTCCCATGATGTCAGCGCAGGGGCTGGGTTAGAGCTAAGGGCAGCCAACAGGCCAGTCGTGCACATGGCCGGGGGCTTCTGCATTTGTGGGGGGTCTGTGGCTTCTGGGATATGCCAGTGCTTTCCAGACGGTCCCTTCCCGGCACAGCGTTTCTGCTTCTCGTTGGTTGTTCCCAGGAGCAGTGACGCTCGGGTACGTGCGAGAGAGGCTGTGGCTGCATCCCAGCCCCAATGCCTGGGGCAGCTGCCAGGCCAGGACCCGCTGCCCTGCCCGCTCCCCGCTCAGCCCGCAGGGTTTTTGCAGGAGCGTGCAAAAAGGTGCACAGCCCATCTTACAAACCGAGGGACACGTGCGTGTGTCAGTCCAGAGGGGAGGAGGATTTCACCCGTGCGCCAGGACCCTGTATGTGCCCGAGGGGATGGGGCAGGGGGAGGGTCAGAGTCCCATTAATGTGACAGTCACTCCCCCAGGGCCCTCCTTCCATTTCAAATTAAACTTTATTGAGAATCATTTCCATCCTTCCTTTTTTTT